GGTGGTTTGGGTTCCATTTTCTTTTTTATTTTAGTGAGTTCAATTAAACTTGTATAGAGTGTAGAAGAAAACTGCGTAGGATGTTATATGGAAAGAACTTCAAAATGGAGCATCTGGTTTGAAGCAGCAAGTGAATTAAAGAGGAAAGAAAATATGAACAGGGACACTTCCTGTGCTACACCATTGGTAATAAGACCTAATTTATCCAGGAGAAACATATCAAGCCAAAGTGACTTACTTGCCAAAACAATGAGTTCATCAAGGAAGGTTATAACCAAACCCCTTGTTTTCTGATAATATCTGTCTTGAGAAACTGTAATAGCTTTACTGCCGCTAAGTTTGAAAATATAATCAGTTATTTCCTTTGAACTTTTTGCTTTTAATTTTCATCATAAATTTTATGTAAATAAAGATACCTTTAACAATTATATCACACTAAGTTTAAACTGACCTCCAAAGAAATATTCTAGAGATGAGTGTCACAGAGTTTCTACATGTAAACATGAATCCCAAGCATCATTACACCCCAGCTCAATCCATCCAGGGTTCCCTGTTGCCGTTTGCATTTATGAGTTTATTATTGGCTTCAAGAGAATAATAAGTGTACATTTTCAGCAAATAACAAAGGAAAAACAAACAAGATTGGGTTATAAATGTTTAATTGACAGTACAATGACAATGAATAGATAGCTTTCCATGGTGATTGGATGTACTGCCAGAAATGGAACCTGCTTGAATGGCCTTGCAAAAGTGGCGGAGGATGGTAACCTAAGGTTTAAAAAGATTAAATAAGACTCCTCTTACGGTGCGTTTACTGAGACTGGGCCACCTAGATAATGAAAACCAATGAGATGGCAGAACTGAAACAATAAATTCCAAAATTTTCAAATCCAGGCAATCAAATGTCCGGTAGAAAAGAATGAAATCTAGACTTGATCGTTGTGATGCTTACGCAACTACGGTGTCTGTTAATAAATTGTCAAGCTCAAGGCGTTAGTGGTTTCGCGTTAGAAAATATTGCGTCACTTTACTTTAGATTTTCCATTTACAAGCGTGTTAAACTCAATAGATTGACCGTTTTCTGGCTGTGAACGTACGGCCACACTAAATATATTTTCTACGGCTTTTGTGTAAGATCGTAGAATATTAGATTTTGACCCACTGTCTGTACGTGTTTCTCTTTTTACACATCTTTCGGTTCAGTGTCTCAGGAGCTCAGCTCTACATTTCGGAGTTTCATTGTATTGAAATAACATGAAAATTCAAACGATTTTTTTTCCGCGTTGTACTATGGAAGCTTCAGCCTGTAAAATCACTCAGGCAAAAACAAAAGACCAACGCATAGCAACTCCTGGATGGAAAAATCGAAGATATTATGAACAAAGCATTCATTTTTTTGTCAAGTTAACTTTTTAATTCTCGTGCTTGAAGTTTGCCTTCAGCTCCTTTCAGGTAGATCGAAAATAATCCCTTTCCGTACATTTCGAATCTGCGTTCATGCGAAACTGCTCAGAGACCGTTTGAATGGGTTCCTTTTAAACAGCCGCGACAATATTCACACAGCACAATCTGTTGGCGATATATATTGACGAGTGACACTCTTAGGCAGCTTTTACTTTCATGTATCTTCCAAACCAATCAACGAGCCCATAGAAGGTGTAGCATATAATTCTTATTGACCCCGCAAGCACGCAGAACTACTAACTGTTTGAGCTTGGCAATTTATTATGCGGCACCGTAATATTGCGTAAGCATCACAACGAAACGGTTGAGATTTCATTGTCTTGTACCGAATATTTGATATGCTGGAATTGAAAATGGGACATTTGATTGGCTGGATTTAAAAATATTGGAATCTATTCTCTCAGTTCTGCCATCTGATTGATTTACATTGTCTGGGTGGACCCAGTTTCAGTAAAAGCACTTGTAATAATCACCTGTTGAAAACTGGAGTAAATGTTTATATCACCTCCCTTCGCTCTTTGGTTTTTACATCACCCCCAACTCTTTTTAACACAAAATGTAAACTAAAAGACATATTTCCTTATGAGGTCTAACACCAGAAGCTCAATATGTTTTTACGATTAAAAAAAGTAATTCTCATATCTAAACAATGACACTCCATCCAGGTTTTACGTCTCGTCCAAGCAGATACAATGCGGTAATGTACATGGAGCTAATATCACAATTTATAAAATACCTGATTTCCAGTATTAATGTATTGAATTCAAGTCTTCAGATTTGATAAAGAAATTTTTTTGCACCCTCACCTGCACAAAGGAAAAATAAAATTTTTGAAGCGAGTCAAACAAACTACAGTGACAACACTCTGGATAAAGCACTTTTGGATCCTTATTTACCTGTTTGAATTAAAATAAATCAAACTTCAAATTCCTAAATTCTTTATCAACTGTGACAATTTTGTAAACATAATAAGATCCAGCTACAGGAACTCAAGGTGAGCAGAGTTTGGAACTCAGGTTTTGTTATATAAGCATACATCATTCCAGCCGACAGTGAGGCCCTAGATTTGGTCTAAGGTAACAAAAAGCTTTTACCTCAGTAACCCTAGACGAGCTAACTTGCACCGTTTTGTTGAGAAAGTGAAACACAAGTCACCCTTAGCAACATAACCAGGATAGCCCTGGTAGGCCTGATAACCTTTTTTCGTCAAAATAGTATGACTGGTCTACTTGGGGCAACTCATAGTTGTAATTGTAAAGATTCTAGAGGAAGCCTTTACTCAAATCTTAAACAACTACAGGGGTAGCGCGGTGCGAGATATTCGAACTCCACTTGGTTGATTCAAACTAATTTAATGACAGATCAAGTCCATAGATCTAGTTCACAATAGGTAGCGACTGAAGAAATAGCGAAAACCAGTAAATCGCTAGTGGTAGCAGATACGAATAYGAGCAKGAGCAGGAGCATGAATAGGCSTAGTAGTAGTAGTAGTAGGTTCAAACTGAAAAGCGATAGTTCAGATACGTCCTACTTAGATAAGGCATAAAATACAAATCTAACAGGATAGAAAAATCATAATAAAACTAACAAGATCACAGCGTGAAACAAATAGACAAATTGAAACAAAGTGAAACAAATTGATACTTGAAACTAATAAAACTGAGACGATAACAACTCTTGTCATAGCAAACGAAGATATCAACGGATATCGCGCAAAACAGCTAAATATAGCGTGAAACAATCACAATTTGGGAATCCTATGACAATAAGCCTTAGCAATAATAGAGCTGTAAAAGCGTGTTCATCAAAACCTAGATAAAGTAAATGAAACCTTTGGTAACAAAGAAGACTAACAATTTGCGACTTAGCAAATAACTACAACAATAAGAACTAGGTACTTTGGTTGACGACTCGCACCAAAAGGTAGCAGAGAGAAAGCGAAATACACTTGAAATAGCGGTAACTTGGATCCTATGATCGTAGCACGGTGGCGGTGTAACTTTACTAAAAATCTCTGACTAAAAGAAGTTTCGGGTCGTCTTATATTGCCTATGCTACGCGAAAAAACTAGTGCGTTGTGAGAAACGTTCCGCCCTCAATGAAGACAACTTCCTACCGATAAAATTTCTAGAACTATTACATACGTGTGAAAATCACGATTTTATGAAAGCTTTCATTTTGAAATAACGTACTTGGCGTGAATAATACCTGATGATAAATCAGTGGGAAGTTGCAAAGGAAAACTTACAATGGTATGAAGAAATCAAAATTAACTCACAAAACCCCACAGTGACCAAATGACTGAAAGGAAGCCAAAGGAAGAAGGATAACTGAACGCTGGAATATGAGAAAAGCTTACGTAATCCTGGAGGGAGAACTTCGTTTCAAACAAATACTTGATAAAGTTGCCTCAGGAGGGTCTGATAGGGTTCTCTTCAGTACCCAAGACCATATTAATGGAGCCTTGTACTCTCTCCTCCGCAGAGGCTCCATATGAGAATTTGATTGCACTCCAAACTATCAGCCTACGGTCAAATCAGGACGAAAGAGGCCTATGCAGAGGGGAGGGGGCCTTGTATTTCAATATGTTTAAAGAAAAGTCTTACAAGACTAGACTGCAAACCATGGGTAAAATGTAGACTGCAGTCTTTTTAAGAATATCTTATTCCCATTTTCATTCATAGAGAGATCGAGCTAACCATACACCAGCTAACCTGAGCTCTATACTTCAGCCTAACCGTAGCACTTTAAGCTCTCTTTATAATATAGATAGGGCCCTATGCGCACTCTGGTTGGTCAAAAACCCATGTTTTATAAGGGGATAAAACATACAAAAAGCGTGTTTTATTGTTTTGGGCGTGTAAAATCATTCTATATCATAAAGCAAATAAAGAAGCCTAAGCCATGTATTACACTGTGAAAAAACACTTCAGACATTTGACAACACTCAGGAAATGTAGAAAACATTCGCCTCTGGCTCATGTTTTCTACAATTTTTTCAGTGTAATACACGGCTTCGGCTTCTTTATTTAAGAAATATAAAACAAGTACCGTGTTTCTATCGAGTTATAGAAGCACGAGTGGAAGTCTGGGAGAACGGGAAATGCTGTGGGAACACGAGCCATAGGCGAGTGTTTCCACAGCTTTTTCGAGTTCTCCCAAATTGTGACGAGTGTTATGTATTGTCAGTGGTCTAACGCGTGCGCATTCAAGTGAGGCGCCCAGTTCTTGTCAGGGTTCGCCATGTTGCTGTTGTGTGTGTGATTTCACCCAGCGAAATCGAACACTTTCCGAAACCATTGGAGGGTTTCTCAGTATTTAACACTGGCGACGAGGATGGGATTGGCTAACTAAGGAAGAATGCCGGTAGTTAATATCGAAATTCAAGGTGTAGCTTGTAAGGTAAGGTGTAAGGTAATTCGTCTGCATTGGGACCACGTTGGAAGAAATGGCTTCAATCGTTTCAATACATTCTTGTGGCCAAAGGAGTGGTCAACGATGCACAAAAAAAGGCTTTGTTACTTCACACAGTGCGAATGGAGGTTCAGGAGTTGTACGAAACGCTAACTGACCCAGGTCCGACCGAACAATTTCAAGAGGATACGGCTACCGATTTCGTGAAAACGGTATGTACTCTGAACGCGTATTTTGTCACGAATCTTACTCGACCGTATGAGCGACATGTATTCAGGAGCATGGCTCAACAGGAGAGAAAGAGTAGGCCAATTCATAACTCTGCTTAGGAAGCAAGCACAGAACTGTAATTTTGGAAACCCAGATGTCGACTGTAGAGATCAACTTATTGATAAATGTCGATCATCGGAATTAAATAGAAAATTGCAGGCAAAGTAGCATCTTACTCTTCAGAAAGTTCCAGCGGTAGATCGATGGATGAAAGCAGTTGACCTTCAAGCTAAGAAAATGGGAAGATAAGATTTTGCATCTTCAACTGAGGAATCCTTGGGAGTGAATAAAGTTGTCTCAACCTCAGATTCAAAGCCCCCTGAGCAGCAAAAAGGGAAGAAAAGGCTAACTGATGCTACCGGTGTGGTCAAGGATAAAATTTGCCCAGCCCGCCAAAGTGTATACACGAAGTGTAAGAAAGTGGGTCTTTATGCAAGTGTATGCAAGATAAAACCCAGCAATGATTCAGCAACGGGGAAGTCAAGTGATAGAAAGAGAGAGCTTCTAGAGACAAAATGCCTGCAAGAGGTGGTCGAGGACGACATGGAGGATGATGTACTTCTGGGCATTTTTACAGCGAAAGATTCTGGAAAAGATGGACACACCCCGATTTTTGTGTTACTGATGCTGGATTAGAAGAGTTGTAAAATGCAATTAGATACAGGAGCCCCATGACCAATGGCCCTTACGTTGTACCAAGATTAAGTAGAAGGCTTACAATGGTGTCCAAATTACTGTCTAAGGTGAAGTTCATTTGCCTGTGATCTATGAACAGTAGGAACTTTTGCTACCTTTGATTGTTGTGGATGGAGAAATCCCTCCACTCCTAGGCAGAAACTGGTTGGAGCAACTGAAGTTAAATTGGCCCAATATCTTTCATGTGAGCAAAGCTGACACTGTGTCTGATGTTCTAAATCATCTCAAAAGGGTATTTCACAAGGGACTGGGACCCATCAAAGGTTTAAGGGCAGAGATAAAGTTTCAAGATGATGCAACACCGATATTCTGCAAAGCTCATCCAGTTCCCTATGCACTACTCCAAAAGGTGGAAGAAGAAAAAGACCGAATGGAGAAGTTAGGAGTCATCAAGAAGGTGAAATGGAGTGCCTGGGCTTCTCCTGTTGTCTGCGTGCCCAAGAAAGATGGAAGAATACGCATCTGTGGTGACCTCAAGGTGTTAGTGAACCAGGTCCTTCTAGACAACCCTTACCCGCTGCCGGACACCGAAGATATATTTGCCAGATTGGGAAGTGGAACTGTGTTCAGCAAGATTGATTTGTCAAATGCCTATCAGCAAATGGAACTGAGCAGGGATAGCCAACAATACCTAACTGTGAACACTTACAAAGGATTCTATCCCAATCAACGCCTAACCTATGGCATCGCCTCTCCCCCTGCACTTTTTCAGTCAACCATGGATCAGATATTACAGGGAATGGACAATGTGCGTTGTAGTATCGATGACATCATAATCAGAACAGATCCCCATGAAGAACTTGCAAGTGCTAGATGAGGTGTTGACTCGGCCGGAAAGCCATGGCATATTAGCTAAGAAGTCTAAGTGTGAGTTCATGGTTACAAATATAGAGGTCCTAGGTTACCGTGTAGACGGGGAAGGCCGACATCCCACAGAAGAGAAGATTGCAGCTATTACCGCAGCACCAAGTCCAAAGAACGTAGCAGTACTCCGCTCTTACTTAGGGCTGCGAACTAATATGGACACTTCATTCCTAATCTTTCCACCTTGCTTTAACCGTTACACGAATTGTTTCAGAAAAAATATGGCAATTATTTTCTTGGGTTGATTGACCGCCATTCCAAGTGAATAGAGGTGGCATATATGAGATCCAACACTTCTCAAAGGCCTATTGATCAAATGAGAATGTGGTTTACGGGATATGGATTGCCAGAAGAAGTTGTCTCGGACAATGTGCCCTAATTCATTTCCCAGGAATTCACAGATTTCCTTAAGGCGGCTGAACACCGTTTTTGATACCTGTGTTTCTTTCACCTTTTTCTCTGTAACCATTGATCCCTCGGTTGTCAAAAATGGCAGCAAGTTAACAACACAAACTTTGGTTTTTTGATGGTTTAGCTGACGTATGTGCCGTTGCCATGGCAACATGAGTAAATATAAAGAGGTCTTAAATTCAGTTTTGTTTATTTGTAGAAAATCTTGTCACTAGATTTTCTTGATAAGTTGCATGCAACAAGCTTGTAACGATTTTCACAAGTTAACACCATTTTGCTAATAATTTAACAGAGAGATCTTTAATTATCCCTTGTTGAAGATTCACTGGAATATCTAGAATTTACTTTCTTAAAGCTCAATTATTTCATATACTCCTGTCAGTTATTTCCTAAAGTATTTTCGTGCCAAATTTCGTGAAATTCTAATGGGTGGTTCTCGAGAAATAGGCCTGTTTCCGAAAGTGCAATTTTTCATTCAATCGCAATTTTTTGACTTACTACGCAGGAGCTGTATTTAACTGGGTTCTTTCAGTAACAAAGAAAAAGCTGAGAACTGCTGGGTTCTTTGCATAGTTACCTTTTCTAACATATCTTTGTAACAGAAGACTAAAGCCGTCAATACACTGAGTTCAGTTATATAGCAAAATGGCACGGACAGTGCGGGTGTTGAGTAAATAAAATTATCGCTCTATTGACGGCATGTTTGTTTTTTGCAATCCATGTGCGCGCGTTGAATTGCATCAGCAAAAGCGCGCGCGAAAACTGTGTTCGGCCATTTTAAACAGAATGGAGTTAAACAAGCACTGGTACCTCCGTACCATCCATCGTCCAATGGGGCAGCAGAGCGCAGAGTCCAGATCTTGAAGAGAGCGTTAGGCAAACATGCTGAAAGTGTGAGAAGAGGTGGCAAGAAACGTTCACTGAAACACCAACTAGCCAACTGGCTGTTCTAGTGTAGAGACACTCCTCATTCAGTGACTGGAGTAACACCATGGGAACTGTTCTTGAAACGTAAACTTTGCACCAAGTTCAGTATTCTCCTACCAATCATGGAAGAGCACATCCAGAACCAGCAAAGCAGACAGCAGCGGCAGCATGATAAGAGTCATGTCAAATTGCGTGAACTGTCACCACGTGACTCGGGTAATGTGAGAAATACCCGGGGAGGAATGGAGAAGTGGGCTCCAGGTACACTAATAAGACGGTGGGACCATTGACCTACCTGGTGAGAGTTGGTCGCCAACTGCGTTATGTTCACATTGATCACCTCCTGCGGACGGAGCGTGTAACTTCTGAAGAGGCTTTTAAGAAAGTGGTTCCTGAGGAGTCATCAGTTCTAGTGTCGGGATCGAGTACACCTCCACTACCAGCGAGTGTCAGTGTTTCAAAGACAACTCAAGACCAACCTGCCGCGACTCAGAAACCTGTTGCTGTTCCAAAGCTTGAACTACCATCTCCAGTGCAGCGCCAAAGTGGACCAGTCCAAGGAACACGCCCATAAGAGCTAAAGGCAGATACCCACCCAGAGAGAGAAAAGTCCCAGATAGGCTTGACTTGTGACTTCAAGAACATTTTAAAGGCTAAGAACATTATCTACTCTCAGTAGAAGTCTTGTTGATATTAGGAAGTTCAAGTTTGTTGTTATCATGTATTTTTGGTGCTGCTCAGCTTTTGTGACAACATTTAAAAGGGGGAGGAAGTGTTATGTATTCTCATTGATTTAACGCATGCGCATTAAAGTGAGGCGCCCAGTTCTTGTCAGGGTTCGCCATGTTGAATTGTAGTTGTTGTTGTGTGTGATTTCATCCAGCCAAATGAAACTCTTTTTCAAAACCATCGGAGGGTTTCTCAGTATTTAACCAGTGTTTCTCTAACTCGATAGAAACACGGAAAACATGTTTTCTATTCCGTGTAAAAAACATCGAGACGTCAAAAAGAAAAACAGTTTGTTGACTTTGGTTATCAAAATATAAATGCTCCTT